TTTGCCTCCAATCTTGGGATATTTTAGTTTTTCGGTTTCATTCATAAAAAATAAAAGGTAAGTCTGCGAAAATTATGGAGATGACTCATGAGCTCATGACCGTGTTTGGTGGTAGAGTCATGCTGCAGTCCTGCAGCTAAATTATGGTTGTAACAGAAATGGGTCGGCTCGACCGGGGAAGGACCACGCTCTCACAGAATACCAGCGAGAAATAGCAGCTCAATGCTGCTGTGTTTCGTATGGTGAGTGCAGAGAACTAGAAAAGGGGACCCTTTTTACTGGAAACGAGGCATTCCATCTCAGTCCTCAAGGGAGATAACGCATCTGCATAGTGATTCATAACCGAGGATAGTTGTAGATATCTATGGACATAGCATCCACTTTTTTATGGAAGAGGGGGCAAACGAGCACGCGGCTCTCCTGATGGTAAGTGACTACAGCCGCCCATGAACAACCGCACTACCAGGTGAATTGCAGATGCGTCGTCGGCCTTTTAGAAAGGAGTAAGCTCTTTTCTTGAAGGTCCCTAAGTCGTATCGCTCCGGAAAAATCGCTGGTGGTACACAATTCCACAGAGAAGTTGTACGAGGAAGAAAACTCCTAGTAAAACGCACAATTGTGGAACGCCAAGCATCCAGATGGTGAGGATGGTATCGTGAATTTTGACTCGATATGCGTTCGTGAAATTTGGCGTCTGGAATTAATCCGAATAATTCCTCAGAGCACCCTCCGTGGTAGATGCGATAGAAAATGCAAAGGGATGCAACATCCCTACGCAGCGGCAGTGAATCGAGCCGATCAGAAAGAACTCGGTCGTCGATTCGAACCGCTCTGCGCTGGATGCAATCAAGTGGAAGGAGCTGGCACTGAGGTGCCCCGGTCCAAAGATGAGAACAGTATTCCATGTGGGGCCGAACTTGCGCTTTGTAAAGTTGCAATCGATGTGCCGGCATGAAATACTGTCTCGCTCTGCTGAGCACGCCAAGCTTTTTAGAAGCCAATTTGGGCTTCCTTTCCAAGTGACTGCGAAACGGCACGCTATTCGATATGTCGACCCCCTATTCCGACGCCTAGCATCGGAATACTGGGCGTCAGCAAGGGCAAAGGCAGCAAGGGGAGTGCCTTGAAACTGAGGAGATACGACAAAGGGGTTCTTTTTAGCGGTAAACGCGCAAATTTGTGTCTTCTTGGTATTAAATTGGACTAGATTTAGTCGCCCCCAAGCCGAGACTTTGTTCAACAAAGACTCGACTTCAGACACAATTTTTTCCTGGTACTCGGTGACGTTTTCCCGAGAAATATTTTCACGGTGGGTATATAAGGCATCACCAGTGCTGTAGTCTGCATAGCAATGAATGTCACCAGTTTGCAACATATCATTGACATGCAGAAGAAACAGCGTTGGTGATAGCACGCAGCCTTGTGGCACACCAGCTTTGATAGGCTTGTAATCAGAGCATGCACCGTCTACTACGACCGTGATGCTTCGATCAGCAAAGAAACTTGTGATCCAATTGCACAATTTCCGGGAAAAATTTTAAGCGATCCAAGGTCGCCTCTTTCTCTTAAGGATAACTTTCATTTTCTTCATTCGATCGACGGTCGAACATCACGACATTCAAACCGTCTTAAGATCGGGTTTCCACAGCACAGGCCTAATTTTTTCAGGTCCTATTTTACGATACAGGCTATGCTATTATTTTAAACAATGGTAGAGCCACGCGGCAGCTTTTGCTGTCGCACGGATGGGCCGGCTCGAACCGGGGTGGTACCACGACCTCACAGAAAACCAGCGTGAAGTAGAGGTTTACCTCTGCGTTTCGCTTGGTGAGTGCAGGTGGCTGGAGGCCCTTTTTACTGGAAATGAGGCATTCCAGTAAAAAGGGTGACTCCTCACGGGTGACAACGCATCTACATTTTGATTTGTAATAGAGGATAAATGTAGATGTCTATGGGCCGCAGCAACCACTTACCATCAGGTGGACTGTGTGCTCGTTTGTCACCCTTATCCTATTAAAAAAAATGCATCTTTGAACACCCTCCCCATTCCCCAATCATATTAAGAATGCAACAAATAAAAACTCCTTCAAATTACTTCTACGACAACATTACCTGAGGGCAAATTACTAACTGACATTATTTTTCTTTTTTTTTCTTCAATTTTTATTGGAACGAATTTCCTTATATGGATGACTGTCAGCGGCTGGATGCTCTTCTTTTATTTGCGCGGCGGGGGTTTCACCGGTGTTTTTCCCACGCGGTGTCGCAGGCATCACGTGACGTCCGGCGGTGTGCGATGTGCGGGGCGTAACTGGGTACGAGGGGGCGACGGGCGGCGGCTCCCGAGCCGTCCGTAACAACGTTTATAAATAATAATATACTACGAAAGGAACTTCGTTCCAACCGAGTGTTGCGCGACACTCACGCATGTTTTCGGAACGAAGTTCTTTATCGGACGGTACGTATTTGGCGGATGGGGGGCTAGGCGAGATAAAGTGTAAGAGAAGACGAACTTACTCGGCGGTTTTAAAGTACGCGTACTTACGGTGACACACGAGCGAAAAAGGTCGTCGAGCCATAAGTACGCGTACTTGCTCGCCCGTCTATCACTCACTTTACGTAGTGTAAACGACCTTGGCGGCTGTAAGGAAGCGAGATGGAATACTATACATCCCCCTCGCACTTTTTCTTATCCTGCCATGTAAGAAATATTATTTTATTTTAAATAACGCTTCATTTTAATAGACGCTAGTAATTCATTTATTTGTATTTGTTAATATAATATTGCTGGCGACGCGCTTAAAAAATAGTTTTATCATTTTCATTCCTTATAAAAATAAACAATTTACATTCTGAAGATATTGCTATTAAATTGTATAAGGCACTTCGAATAAAGAGATAATCTATGTTAAAATGAAAAGTAAATATATTCAATATAATGTTGAACGAAAGTTCGACAGTTAATTCCATAAAAGTTTGTTTTTAGATTAACTTAGTCTTGTGTTACACAGAGACGTGGTCCTTCATAGTGGACTTATGAAAGGCTGTAATGATGATGATGATGTGTTACACAGTAATCGGCTTTGCAATACGAATAAAAGTATTATACCTGCAGAAGAAGACAACGTAGGCAATTCGTTCGGGACCAGCTACCAGTTTATACTTTAAATCAAGAGAGAAAATACCGATAGAAAATGATAGAAGTGATAGAAAAGTAGTGAAAGTTTCAACGTTGCACTCTTATGGATAAATTTAGAAGACAAATCAGTGTTTTATTTCCTAAAGCATCTTCCATATCAGTTAAAACTACAGTCCAATGAACGGACGTCGAGATCGGGACCACTCCAAGAGGACCCGTAATCTTAGTCGTCTAACCTTTCTTTTCAGAAAAGGCAACGGACGCCCTTATGTGACACTCTTTCACGGGGGTCACTTCCACCTTGTTGCTCCCGCACCCAACGTGGTGCGATTTGAGTTTCGGGATATAACGTCAATGAATGACTGATCCCTGTCTGTTGGACCCTCTCAGATACTTTTATCACTACGGAAGGAACTTCGTTCCAACCGAGTGTTCCGCGACACCTTTTTTGGAACTCTTTTTTTTATTTATATAAGGTATATTCATACGAATATTTACTTATAAAGTTTATAAGCATGTATACACATTATATATATGAATGTATATTTAGATGTGTTGTGAATATATGTACTATGTTTATATTATACTTTAATATATGTAGGTTATTTATGTATTATGTTTCGTACCTGCCAACAATTGTCTTTGCTACCCAGGTTTGACTGGGAGAAAATGCCACATTTTTTTATAGCATAGTATTTATTTAGTAGTTATTTATAGCTTCAGTTAAGTATCAAATCGCTTAAAGGACCCTCAGTCTGAGCTATGCGTGTGGCCTCAGGTTGCAACTCGCAATGGAGATCGACAACTCTTGAACTACTCCGACTATTGCTGAACTCTGTAGCGATATAACTCTTTTATCCACCATCGGTGCTTCCGCTTTTGTATGTTCTTTTTTTTAAGTGTTAATGACTATTAAAACAGCAACTACTCTACCCGCGCCTGCTGTCGTCGCGCTTTTGCTCTAAGTTGGATCGCGTCGCCTTACTTTGATCCGCAATGCGCCTCGCCCACTGCCTCAAGGTAGTGTAGCCTATCTGCCTCAAGTAGGCTGCTCAAATGGATACATAGCTTCATAGTAATAATGCTTATGTAGTTTTCATTAAAAAATGTTTATTTCTTAGTTTAGAGCCATGCTGCAGCTATATTAGTAATATAGTAATATAGTTGTAGCACGAATGGGTCGGCTCGACCGGAGAAGGACCACTCTCTCACAGAATACCAGCGTAAAATAGCAGCTTAATCCTACTGCTTCTTACGCAGAGTGAAGAAAATCGGAGACCCTTTTTACTGGACACGAGGCATTCCATTTTGGTCCTCAAGGGTGACAACCTATCTGCAATTTGATTCTTAACACGTTCCCTGTCCGCTGAGCCACATATGGTTCAGGAAACGTGCGCTTGAAAAGCACTAATACGTTCCTGACCCATATGTGCGTCAGGGCACATATGCAATTTCTACAGTGAATATTTCTAACGGACGTGAAGGGACTGTACTGTTTCTGCACTGGACCTGCAGGTACGATTATAAACTAAAGAAAAACGCCGGGACGTACGAAAAAATATTTTAATTTTTCTAAGAAATCGCAAATTTTACTTATTGTGATTATTTTGAAAACAGCATAAACAAAACGATTTTTTGCATTGCAAACACACAGTATCCACTCGTTTCACTCTTTTAGCAGCAATTTCCCAGTTTGTACATTCTTTTCGCAAGTCTTCGTAGCATCCATGGCATCGTTTTCGGACAATTTTATTGTCCTCTTTTCTCGGAATTTTAGACAGAAAGTGCTGAATTGTGATCGAGCTAGTAGATGGTCTTGGACTATTAGTCAATGAAATTGCACTTGCATCTGATGCATTGTTCAATTGCAAGAACTCCCTAATAATTTCTTGCTGCGTCTGTAGTACGGTTTTCCGTAATTTTCTATTAGTAGTTGAATGTAGTTGTGATACATAAGCGTGGCGTTTGTTATTGAAGCACATATCAAAATATCTAAAGCGATCTTTTTGTACCATGCCGGAGACTTTCTTTTTGGGTCATAATAACTTGAAAGCTGGTCACGCACATGTATGCCTTTTTTTCGCTCATTGTAATAGAGCACGGCTTCCGGCTTCAAAATTGGCCGATATCCCGAAGACATTCGCATAGTAGCGTTATGGCATGTAGAAATCATTGCAACGTCGCGTTTGTTTCTCCATTTCATCACTGTTACATTGTCCTTCTGTCGAGCAACCACTTCACCTTTTATAGGTCCTATTTTTTTCGATCTTATTGCCCATGGAAGTTCTTTTCTATTTACTCGCAAAGTGCCGCATAAGTCTGCCTTATGCTGCAGCAAATATTTTGCTAATCCAACGGTATTGTAATAGTTGTCGCACACAATTATCCGTCCAGCTTCTAGATGACCATCACATAACTGAACTACGACACTTCCCGGCTTATCCAAATCAGCGATCTCGGGGTCGCGATCTATGTAAATGTCATAGTTCCAGACAAAACCATCTTCTGTGCAAAGTTTATAGATTTTCAAGCCATATTTGTGAGCTTTTGATAGGTTGTACTGACGGAAAGATATCCTCCCTCTAAATAGCATTATCGACTCGTCAATGACGATACACTCATTAGGTGTCAGTAAGTTCTTCCAGTTGTTGATAACAAGGTTCAAAAGTGGTTTTATTTTGTACAGATTTCTTCGCGTGTAATGTCTGTCCACCGATTCATGCGACTATGAACAGATATGTTGACGTTCTGTTTCAGTTGAGAAGCGTAGAGATTTGTTTGAGTGACCATAAGATCTAACACTTCGTCGGTCAATATACGTCGATAAATGGAAACAACAGATTGTTCACCTTGGATATGAATAGCTGGGCTGTTATTATAAGGTTGACGTGACAGTGGTAAGCTGTCCTGACTCCAGCCATTTTCTCTATCTATATCATTTATTTCTTGCAGATTAAGCCGCATGATCTCACCAGCAGTCCGCCTTCTGCTCGTTTCTGGCCGAGGTGAATTTATGACGATATCGGATAAATTATAAGCTGGTGAATCACTACCAATGTCATCGGTTACAATGTTTGAGCGGGAAATCTCACCTGGTTCAAAATCCGGATCATCGATATCGTCATCTGCAAAAAATACTCGGTTCTTGATCCGAAATATTAGAATCTGGCTCTTCTTGTACATAGCTATCGCCGCCGTTCGAATCCGTGTCATCGTTACTCAATTCATAGTCACTTTCTTCCAATACCTATTCGTCGCAAGTCCTCAGTTGATAATCTTCGCGGCATTTTGAACAACAAAATCGCGTACAATGTAACCCATAGATAAATATATATTTAGCAAGCCATAGATAAATATATATGTAGCAAGCTATAGCAAGCTAATATAACCCCGCCTAAGGGTATTAGTGTTCTGTGAATATAACCTTGAAACAATTTCATGAACAGAATTCATAAATATGACAATGACATAACATAATTGACAACATATCTATTAGCCTTGAGCAAAATATATATCGATATTTTAAATCGCGATATATCTACATATCGATATTTATTTAGAGTATCGAATTCGTATCAATTTCGATATATTTTAATATAATATATATATATTTAACGACGAAATATAATAAGATATATTTCGTCGTCCAACCGTCAGTAAATAAAATTTTGGACCTTATCTTTTCATTCTAATGATGACGATATATCGATATTTATCACTTGATATATATCGATACTGTTTAAAAATATAGATTCGATATATTTTTTCCCTTTGCCCATCCCTAATATCTATAATCTATGGAAAATATTCCACAGATAATCAAATGTGCACAAGTTCGTAAATATCGTGAAAATACATAAATAATAATAGTAAAGTAAATAATAAAATAAATACTTATGAAACTCATAAATATAAAAAAATTCCCTGAACCACATGTGGTTCATGAACGTGCAGGAGCAAAAATGTCTCTCTACGCTCATGAACCATATGTTTCAGGGAAAGACTTTTTATTTTTTTAAATGATATTATTACTAGCTACCCTATGACTATAAAAAACAAATTATTCAAAAAACCCTATTGGACGTGTCGGTGAATTTTGCATTTTGGTATGGGACAGGAAACATGTTAATTAATAATAAATGTAGATGTCTATGGGTCACAGCATCCACTTACCATCAAGTATTGTGTCCTTGTTTTTTTTTAGAATAAGGGGTCACCCTTGTTATATAAAACCCTTATAAAAAGCTGTTGTCTATTGTAGCTGTGGCCAGGAGCAGGCATGTTCAAAGAGAAACAAACGAGAATTTTATATAACTTTATTTATCTTAAGGTTATTCGTTCTCCTGGCTGCGGAGACGCGCGGCTGCGTTGGTGACCCTGATGCTCAGTTGTTGCGCGCGTTCCACGATGCTCTTTCGCTTCTTGGAAGAGACTCCGTGGGCAATCTCTGCGCAGAACTTCCTGTTCTGCATCATAAGGATCTCCAGCTCGCGGACATTGTGGACCAGGACCTGGAAATGCAAAAGTAATTATAGTAATGGCAGGGGTGGATCTGTATATGGGCTTTGTGGGCTACTGCCCAGGGTCCCGTGGATATAAAGGGGCCCGTTGAATGCAATAGCTATCAAAATTTTAAATAATTATGATAATATTATGAAAATTTCATGACTTTTAGAGATAATGAGAATGAAAAAGTTAATTTTACATCAGTAACTCAAACCCAGTACTTAGTACTTTACGAAAGATACATATTAGTTTGTAAGCCTAATAAAGTTCCCTAAAGGCGCTGCCATACTTGCGCACGCGCACGTTAAGTGCGTTTGGGAGTTTGGTTATGTTCACAAGTGGTTTGCATGTAAGTTGAATATTCATGGCCTGCCCGTATTAATAGTTTGATATGAGCGTGTACCAACATAGTATGGACGCGTTCGCAAGCACTTCACGAGTGTGATACGTGATACATCTAGTGACAGAATCATATAACAATACCTCACTGATCGACCACAATTTTTTTTTGTTACATATTATATAGAATATAACTTAAAAGATTAATATCTACATTAGAATTAAAAATATTTCACATACTATATATCTGTTCTACTTTAATATATGAATATGATAAAAAGTGTATTGGAAAATACTTGTTTCTACCACTATGACCAAACTACAAAATGTGTATGTAGCTTGGAATAGGTATCGATAGAATTTATCTTGCAAGGTAACAAATTGTGAATATCATATTGAGATGAAATACACAGAGTGCCCTTGCTAATGTTTTGTTTGTAAGAAAATCAATTTCTTTCCCAGTTAAATAACAGTAAGAAATGCTGGAAATCAATCAATTATTTATTCAATTGGATATTTTATTTAATGGATGTAATTTATCTTGTAATTTGTTAAGGGAAATGCATACACCATACAGACTGTTTCAGTATATTATCAGCCATTTTATTCATGGTATTGGACGATCATCATCAACATCATTACAGCACATCACAAGTCCTATGCTGTACTAAGGTAAGGAAAACTCTGATATTAAATCTATACAGGGCTATATTTAAAATAGTAGCAAAATTTTAAACTTAAGTTTAAATATATAAATAGTTATATACTGTTATTGCAGTTTTTGAAAATATGAGTAAAAGAGGCTTCTTCCTACTTTTATTTGAAATTATCCCATATTGCATGTGAATTATGGGCACCTGATCGACTCTTACAAATGTATGTCTATACTAAACTATCCCAAATATTGATGTATTTGGTGGGATTAATTCTGAAAAAAGTTTAATCCTTTTATTAATTACATGCACTACAACATTTTCTTGTATTTAAGCTATATTTTCTATTTTCAATTTTAAACTAAGAACTAAGTGTTGACAAAGTTATTGGTGATATTAGTTTTCAAGTACTGTACATTGTATATAACTTTTTACTAACCTTACGGAAACCATTGGGGAGCATGTGACGAGTCTTCTTGTTTGACCCATAACCGATGCTGGGCATCAAGTACTGTCCCTTGAAGCGCCTGCGCACTCTGTTATCAATACCTGAAGATTGCATCAGAGAAAAATAATTAATTCAGTTATTATACTAATTTATATTTCAGGATATAATATATACTATATCCCATAGTGAAAAGCCAGCCTTATACACAGCTGTGATAATGATGATATTTATGAGACAATAATATTGTGTCCAAAACCGTAATTGCATTAGTTTCAATAACTTTAAATTGGCCAGCTTAACACTTACATAATTAATTTTTCCTTTTTCCTGCATACCATTTTAAAGATCTCAAATTTGCATAACCCATATATCAAATTTGAAAATTATATTTAACACCAGGTACAGACAGAGGGGTGTTATGTTTAACGTGTGTATCTGTGTGTCTGTCTGGCATCATAGCTTCCAAACAGATGAATCAACTTAGATTTAATTTTTTTTAAAGGCGACTTGATTGAGAATTTTCATAGCTGTGATTCAAGAAAATCTTTTCAGCCGTTTGAAGGTAATCAGCTGTTTGTTTCCGGGGTTTTTAAATGTGCTATTTAATATTATGGTTAATAAGTTTTCTATGATAAATGTGCATATACTACATGTACAATTCTGCTACTGTAATTTTAGATTAGTTTTCATCTTAGTTTCATGAGATTGCTGATGATTTTATCCTAGCAATGTATAAGTATTATAAATAACTAATATATTGTAAAGAGAGTAGTCCCCATTCAAGCAACCTCATATATGGGGATAACCATGACACTTATTTGGAAATTCTGGGTGTCTTCTAAACCATTTCAGTTGTCTAGCTTATCCAAAGTATATAATATGGTTGTATATAAGTTGTAATATTTTTTTTTTGTTTGCAACCATTAATACTTTTAACATATGTATGTAAGAAGTATTAATGATTGCAAACAAAAAAATTACACTGTTTGTTGTTTTAAAATAAAACCCATGTGCTGTAACATATTTGATGTGGATATCTGATAGACCAGTCGTTTAGTTGTAAGCAATGTAATGAGAAGCAATGTAATGTCACCACCAATATGACCAAATTATACACGCGTAAGTAATCTGGAATAGGGTTCGGTGGTAGTGCTCTAGCAAGGTAACAAATTGTGAGTATCATATTAAGAATGAATAACACAGAGTGCCCCTGCAACGCGAAACTAAACATGAGGGACAATTTATAAAAATAACCTCTCAGGAGTTTTCTGAAGGAATAAAAGTGACATAACCTATATCTTAATATAAAAGCATAATCATGATGCTAACAATAAAATTTCCTCTTTAACACATAATAAGCAACATTAAGATATAAATGACTATAAAACTGTTCAAATCACGGTAAAAGTGAAAAACGTGAGGTTTAACTTTGGGTAGGAATATTGTCGAAACTTACCTCTAGGTTTACGCCAATTGCGTTTAAGTTTGTCATAGCGATCAGATTGATGTCTGATAAACCGTTTCGTCCTCTTCTTGACGATTGTAGGTCTGTACACAGGTCTGATAGCCATTTTGATAGTTTCTTTTGAGAAACGCGGCTGTGAACCACGCGGTGACACGGCCGCACAAAAAGGAAAGAGGAATAGA